AGAGTGAGAGTGAAGAGAATGAGAGGGTGGAGATTGAGGAGATTGAGTTCAATTTTTGAGACTGAGTATAGTGAGGAGAGTGAGTAGAGTGAGAGGCGGGAAGGGAGAAGAACGAGGAAAGGGAGGGGACGGAAGAGAGGGTAGAAAGGGAGGAGAGGGTGGAGAGGGAGAGAGTGGAGAGGGAGAGGAGGGAGAACGAGAGGAAGGAAGAGCAATGAAGGTTTTTGTAGAGAGAACCGGGCGGTATTAAATATGGGTTAACAGCAATGCCTAGAGACCCAGTTACACGAACTGCCTAGTAGTGGTGTGAAAATTATGAAATCGTGTCTGGAATTGAGGACCTTAAGTGCCAACCCCGACCATACATTTGTGATCCCATGAGAGCATTATTTGCGTCATAGCCGTGTTCCCCGAGAACAGCCCCAAGATCTCAAGATACTCGGAAAAAGGGCATCTATCGGGGCTTCGCGAGCTCTTGGCGCAAGCGGTAAACCCCGGAAACACCACTGATAGCTCCCACCCAGCCCAGACGGCATACCTTCTGACACTGCCGAATGGGAATGTAATACTAGTATGATATGATAAGAGGCCCAGAGAGAGACTATACCAAACTAGGACCGCCAAAGAGGGCAGAAGCGCTTCTCAGTATCATATATAATCGAGATTGTAATTTCACGTGATATAGGGTGTGATGCGTATGCTCTAGAGGAACGAGGGATTGGAGGAGGGGTGTAAGTTAATTGACTTGTCTATCACCCCGGTGAGGTTAGCCAGGGCCAATGATACCAGTGTGGGTTGCCGCCAATAAAGTTACTAATTCAGGAGTTTATCTATCTAGCCAACACAGAAAGATAGCGCGAGAGTCACGGCACGCAGAATACTCCCCATAAACGTAAACATGATATTATAGTGATGAAGCATCGGTAGATTCCCAACGCAATCATCGGAAGAAATGATTGAGCTAGCTCTGTGGTTAGTGAAGGGTCGTCGTGAACCGCTCGTGGGTGAGTATATGTAGTATATGTAGTTGGACCCCCCACCCCGAGGGAAACAACTGGCAAGCCCCCGAATCATTGTTCTCTTCATCTTTCCCATCATCATCGTTCCCAATATCTAAGTTTCCCCATCTGATCCCGAAAGGCTTGACATCAACCCCTCATCTCTTCGCCCTTACTACTCCATCCAGCCCCATTGGCCACTTCCATCTTGAAATCTGCAATCACCGTCCGTCTAGCAGCGCAGCACGGCACTGCACCCTACAGAGACAAATCGAGAGAGCTATTCTAATTTCATGATCCAACTGTTTATTCCATTCCCTCCATCGCCACCAGCTAGTTAAATACATAACACATGTCTACATTCCAATACGTTATAACCGCCACAACATTCCCCAACCATCCCCCCCAACATTCCGTCGCCGCTACCTTTTTTTTTTTTTTGGAGATAAAGCGTGCCGCTCTCCAACAAGAAACCGAAATCAATCAACTCCTCCCCAACAAATAGCGAAAACACTATAACCATCACCAATTACACCCTTCTCTCACCCATGGGGAGAGCTGTCCATCCTATGCTGCCGTACAGTTTGTAAGAAAAAATGGAAATATGGAAAAGGTTTGGAAAGATCAAAGTAAAGGAAGCCATCCCCACTCTTTCCACAGAATGAAGAAAGAAAAAAACTGAAAATAGGAATATAGGAAGGGGCCAATCTCATAAACATCTGTCCGAGGGGGGAAGAAAAAAATAACGTTAAAATCACACAGCAGAACGGAATCGCCGCGGAAACTCAACGGGGAATTATCATGATCACCTATCGGATGAGCTACTAGAGCTGCTGCTGCTTGAAGAGGAGCTGCTAGACGTGCTTTCGGATGAGGTACCAGTCTCGCTCGGTGATTCACTAAAGTCGCTGTCCGAGTAGCTCTCGCCACTGGTATCGTATTTCTCACTGACCCGAGTCCGGCGCCTGCCTGAGAACATACTGGCAAAGCCGGCTGCGGCACCCCCTATCAGTGCCGCCAAACCACCACTTCCATGATGGTGACCGCCGCTAGAGGCGTGATGGCCACCAGATACCCCAGACACAACACCAACGCCACCTCCATGACCGTGGTGACTGGATCCATAATGGTGAGATCCGACAGCGCCACCTGCACCGTGATGACCATGGATGGTGTGATGCTCCTGGGTGTGGGTGGTGGTAGTCGTGATCTTCTGCGCTGGTCGTCTTCCAAACATTCCGCCTAGGAATCCTACACCAGCTCCCGCACCCGCTGCTGCCGCTGCACCGCCATGGTGGTGGTGACTTCCATGACTATGGCTCTCCTGGATGATGACAGTTTCTTTACGGCGACGGCGGCCACCGAAGGAATTGAGCCAGCCGAAGAATCCCTTGAACCCCTTTTTGACGCAACAACAAAAGAGAATCAAAGCGATCAAGAACAAGGCTCCCAGTACACCTCCCACGATTCCACCAATCTGTGCGCCCGTAAGACCACCGCCACCAGAATCTCCCCCTACAACACCGCCAAATCCGAGAGATCCAGTGGGAACAGGGACCAAAAAGGTATTTGTGCCGGTGACAGTCGGGACCAAGATTTTCGAACCGGATTCATCGCCCCCAATAACGCCGCCATTGAAGGACTCTGTTGGTCGGGTTGGTGGGGTGAAACTTGCGCCATTGGTAATGGTAGCAATAAAGTCACCACTCGAGCCTCCAGAACCAGAAGGATTGCGGATGGAAGATGTAAGGGAAGGTGGGTTCCAAGTTGATGAGGGGGCCCTGGAGGCAGAAGGGTTAACAGCCGTCGCGGAGGGGATGAAACTAGAGTAGACTGAGGTCCTGGTAACCAGGCCAGTCTCAGTCCAGGTACGGGTGAAAAACTGCCATGATCCTTGACTATTAGAGTTAGACCCGGATCCCGAGTTGGGTTTTTCAGTGCACTGTCCTTCAGATGTACAATCCTGGCGATCCGTGCAGCAAATTGAACCGCAACTCGTCTGCCCAGAAGAGAAATTGCAGGAAACCTGGGGAATGGGGTCGGGTATTGGTGATGCTATTGAGTGATGAAGGAGTGTGAAGAGGAGGGAGAGAAGCGTTGGTGCTCGTGCAGCGCAACGCATTTTGTGAGGGGAGAAAAGGAAAGGTCGTTAAAAAAAAGCGTTCGTCAATCGTAAGAAATTTTCCCCCGATATCATCAATCAGCCGGTACCGGTACAATCTGCACCGAGCTGCGGGAGTCAGTCTTCTGCCTTGGGGTGATGAGGGAGGACGAACATCGGGGGCAGGGATGAGAATTCAAAGGGGAGAAAGGCGAGGGGAGGGAGGTGTAGGGGAAAGAGCATGAATTCAAACTTACAGCCCAGCTAGAAAATCAGGGGTTGGTTCGTTGACTCGGAAACCGATGACCCAACCAGCGATGTCCAGCCCGAATATGCAGGTACGAGTTAACAGGAGCGAGAATCTCGGAAAGAAGAGAGGTTGGAGATGCGATGGGAGAGGGGGAAAAGAGTGTGGTGAAGGGGGAGGAGGAGGGGAAAGGAGGGAAAAAAGGGAAAGGGGACCTCAAGAGCAGGAGGAAGAGTGAGGAAGAAGAGAAGGATCAGGCAGTATTGGGGGGTCCAGCCACTTCTTCCCTTCGAAAGCGAGAGGTCGGGACCACAGGCAGATCCCGGAGGGCTTGACGGTGGTTGGGGTGGAAACAGCCAGACCCGCCAACACATCAGCCAATCCCAACCAGTTTGGTCATCCCAAATAGGCAACCTTCACACCAAAGCGTTGGCGAGACAACCGAGGTGGGGTTGGCCCGGATACCCGCAGGGGTACCTTCTTATCCAGCCTCTGCGTTTTTCCCCCCCAAAATTATGCCAGTCTCCCGTGTCCTCGAGACTCGAGTGCCGTTTTGAATCCATCCAGCACACGGGGGACCCGACATGTAGGAAATGGAAGCAGGAGAAGCCGCGAAGAAAAAGAGGCGAAACGGGTCAGTTTTTCGGTGACGTGGGAATTGCGTTCTGCACTTGAACAACCTGTTCTCGAGGGGATGGTTCCTTTTTTCTCTCTTTCTCTCTTCCTCCATACTAGTACTTTCTCTCCCCCTCAAGCGGATATTTTTAGGATCAAACTGATCTGTAAGGCTTGAGATCTATCCATCGGTAGAATAATCTTACCCTGCTGGACTCCAATGGAGTGCATTCACATCGACCACTTCCCGCTCAGTTCCAACCCCTTCCACTAAAGGCACTCACACTCTCCTGCTGAGCCTGCCGTATCGCATCGGCTTGACGGAAGCGCTGGGAAACAGTTGGCCGCCAAGAAAGCAGCAGAGTGCCTGTGCTCGTACGGTACTCGTACGACCAAACCGGGCCGCACGTGTTGCCTGTTTCTCAAAAAATCTTGCTTGGTTGCCTCCGTCCCAGTCGATTTTACCGGCGGCAGGTACCGGTATGAAATACTTGGAATATGCGGTCCGGGCAACCGTGCCGCCATAATAAGCTCGCAAGTAATCGGTGAATCTCAGCCGGAGCCTGCAGCACAATGCGGTACAAGCGCAACTGAGGGTATCATATCACAGTAAATTTAACGGCACCGGCGTGCAATCAATTCTCTTGGTAAGGTGGAAACATCGTCCGGGTAAAACACCGGGCGGGACACCTCCCGGTGGGGGGGAGGGGGGCAATTCCTTGGTTGAAAAGGAATTTCTCGAGAAATTTCTTGCTAACCCTCGCGGATTCGCCAATCACAGTACCCCCACGAGTGATACTCAATGCTTCACTCGCGAGCCGATGTGGTAATGTGTTGTCAACCCGGCCAACCGGACTCTCTCGCCCGGACCACCCCTCCCCCTCTGCTTGAGTGTCCCACCGCCGCGCATTCCGGTGCAGAGCCGGGGAAGGGAACGAAGCCCTCTGTGGCTGGAAACGCGCCCGGTGAAATTGGCACTGTTTGGGGTTCGCAGAAACCGGGTCACCGTACATGTACCCTGACTAAACGTGAGGGGTCCCCGTCCCAAATTACCGATACCTCAAGGGATGAAAATTCAGCGCCTGCGATGCCTGCCTATGAAATGCTCGTTTCGGAGCGGTTGTCCGCGTATCCGATGCCTCTCCCATTTCCTTGCCAAGTGCCCAATGGACTCCCAGCAGCTGGCGGGTGAAAGGGATTTTCTGTGGAAAAAAAGGGTGGCGGGCTGATTACTGTGCACCCCGCGCGTGATGATAGACTGCAGTACCGGTGCAATATCACCGTGCGGTATGGGTGTTAAATTTAGATTGCCCATCGAGATTTTCGCCGTGGTCCGGGGATTTCCGGGGGAGTGGGTTGCGTGAGACATGCAAAAATTACATCCGTGACTGCCGGTGGTGTTGCTGTCCGCGTCGTGGTCTCGATATCGCTACAATCGCAGCATGATGAAATCTTCTCAGCTGGGCTCTTGACACTGGTACCGGTATGGTACTGGCACTGCTATATATACATCACGTTACACTAAACACACTCAACCCTTCTCCCTTCCAATCGATCGAAGGAATAAATAAATCTATGATCACTTCGTATTCCTCAAAACCCTTCCTGCGCCCCTCCATTTTTGCATAAATCCTCCGTCCCTCCTCCTTCAAGGAAGAGGCGGAGGTGGCTCTCCCTTCTTCCCACCAGCCATATTCTCAGCGCGTACATGTTTGGTGTCGCAGCTCGGTGCATTAGCGCGGAGAATATCTACGGGCGAAGGTACCGGTATTCGTTGTGTGCGCCTGGTTGGCGGAGGTAGAGGCCTGCCGGTATCAGCTCTGGATTATGGAGGATTCAGATGGAGGCCGAGAAACCGGGAGGGAGGGAGGGAGGTGCAAGCTATCGGAAGGGCGATGGATAGCCGTGTCAAGGATAAGGCGCTGGGGAGTTTCTTTGGTGCCGACGACATCAATTATGGGGAGCTTGTCCGCAATCCGGTTGGTATCGCCACGGTATGTGCTCTGTGGATAGATACATATGATACACTCCAGAATACACCGCAAACAGCACCGCTGGCAAGGCTGAACACCAGCGCGGCCGCAGACGTCTTCGAGAATACCCAGACGAAGGAGCCACTCTGTCCGCTGAGCAACCCTATGCTCTCGCTGATGTTTATCCTGCCAAGAAAAATGACACGCTGCTTAATCCGACCAGTTGCCTTCCGAGCGCCGTTCCGAGATGCCCTCATGATGGGTCTGTAATTGAATGCTCGCTGGCTTGAGTTGATGACTTCCTTCCGATCTCGGATTTACAGCGTGCCTTTTGGGCTGATGATAGCGACACATATGGCCAATGTCCTGGGCGCCCGTTCTACCCACCGATTTCGAAATCGTTTCCAAGATGCCTCGGAATCTTGAACCTCCGACCCCGACTCCCGCCCTGGCGATTCCGTTTCCACAATTCCCATACAGCGAGAGTACCGTACCATACGATTATCTACCTTGACATTAAGACCATCTTAGGCTTGTGGTCAAGCTTCGGGGCAAGGAACCGGATGCTGGACCCTCCCTGTTTGGAAACTATTCCACCGGTAGTCTAGGAGAATTCGGGTCCATTGTCCGAACTACTTTTGGAGGATGGCGGATTGTATGTGTTGGTGATGAGATGTCGTAGGCCAACGACGGTGGAAGGGGACCGGACGCAGATTCCCCCAGCAGGGGAGACCTCGAAGCTGTATGGCCGTCCCAGGAAATGGCTCACGGCTACCCGTTCAGACAAGCAAACCTTGCTTGCTGTGGTTGTCATGGCTCCCTTATAAGGCCTCGCCATTACGACTGAAAGCATCAATTATATGATATCAAGGAGGCTATTTCGTTGGTGCCCTCTGACGTTTACTAGCACTCTGTTGTATCCTGGGGAAGATTGGGGGTGATGTTCCCCGAGGTTACAGAGAGGGCTAACTAATCCCGCTTTAGCTATAGTTGTAATTCTTGCTCAACGGTATGGTAGATATGGGCTGTGAACATCCAGCACAGCTCCGTAAACTCCCGCACGCAGTTGTGGTACCGGTAGCAGTATCATGGGCTGTTGTCTCGTATAGCATATCGTAGGCTATGATATGTACGGATATGGTATGAGACAACAGAACCTACAGGACCAATCGTGGCGCTGCACAGTGGCGCACAGCACGTGACGCGCAAAACATCCCTTCGTCGCCACACCTTCAATAAAGTCCTGTGATACCATCTCTCCCTTCCCCCTCCTCCCCATAAATTTAACCCCCACCGCACCAAACACACTTCACCCACACCACATACCACACGCAACAGACAAAAAGAAAAAGAAGTACGGTAACCGCAGTCATGCCAATCCCCCTTTTCACCACCGAAAAACCCTCCATCTCCGAGACTGCCCAGTCTCCTTCCCGAGCAGAAACGGTACGCCAAACGCCGCTGGATTCGGAAACACCCTCGAGGGCGGATCCGAGTAGTAGTAGGGATACGGCCGCTGCTACGATCGAGCCCAGGTGTAGGGGCTCTACTACGGAACGGAGGACGGAAGACCAGGAGGCGGCGGACAGAGCCTACTTGGAGAGGATGGAGGAGGAGTATGCCAAGAGGGAGGGGGGTGCTTGATCGGAATCTGGGGTTGGGCTACAGGTACTATCGGAGGGAAGGAGAAGGCATGTCCGATGCGGTGCGCTACGGATGCCGGTATCCGCCTTAGAGTTTTCCTTTAACTTTTACTTCCTTTATGCACTTCGGGGTTTCCCCCTTTATCTCTCTGCTCTTGGGTCTCAGGATAAACCGTAGCAAATCAGCGCTCTGTCTTGTGATTGTCTGCCTTCTTTTGCAGCTTACCCACCGTGATGGTTGGGGTTTGGGCGTCGATTTTAAAGTTGAGTCGCCGGTTACGTCATTTTCCGAGCCAATAGCGTAGATGAGAAATGGCTGGAAGCTGATTGGTCCGAATACTCAGTCCTCTACTCGAGTACCACGGGTAGACTACGGCAGAATACAGTACTCGAGTACCCGAGTATGATGCCTCTAAAAACACGGCCCTTCGCCCCATCAGAATCTAATGGGTCGGAAAGGTCTGGACCCTAACTTGATGTTAATTTGCTGGTATCGTCTGATAGGATACGAGTGGAACTTGATCGCACTTTAGGGAACAGGTTTGGCCTCTTGGCTGCTTAGTTGTACATTTTCTTTCTTCCACACCAGGCGGAGTCCCGCCACTGGGGAACGCTTCACACAACCACCACCACCACCATCACCACCACCACTGCCACCACCACCCCCTCCTATACACCGGTAACGGCATTGCTGTTGTCGCGGATTAAGTTTAATTGACCCCCATCGAATAATCACGGCTCCCTCCTGCAGGCACGTCTTGGTAAACACCAACGACGACACCACCAACCAGCACGATAGCAGCGCGGACCGAACAATGGTATTGGTATACATCAAAAATCTTCTCTTCCCACACTCGAAACCCGCCACTTCACACACATCCTCTCCGCCTCTTCTCCCTACGCACACAAAAACCTACGGAACCTCCGACTCCTGTCCGAACCCGGCATGTCCGCTCCTCTCCCGTAACCCTTCCTACCAGTGTGCCTCTACCCCCACCACCGACACACAAGACGAATCGGAGCTGGAGAAGAAGCCCACAGCGGGCGTCATCGACCCGAGGGTTTTGTCCGACCTCACCATTGGTTTGTCCGATGGATTGACAGTTCCCTTCGCCTTAACGGCGGGGCTATCCGCGTTTAACGACACAAAGGTAGTCCTATACGGTGGAATCGCCGAGTTGATTGCTGGGAGTATATCGATGGGATTGGGAGGATGGCTGGCGGGCCGCGGCGAGGCGTATGATATTCCTACCCCCCCCTCGAAAGTATTGCGACAATTGCTGACCCTACCACAGCGAATTCTACGAAAACACCCTAACAACCACAAAAACCCTCATCTCCACGCACCCAACCTCAATCCCGCCACTTCTGCACTCGATTTTCTCGCCCTACTGCCTCCCACCGGACTCACTCTCTCCGATAGTCCAGAACCTGACCAAATCCCCACACCTCGCCCCCTTCATAATGCAATTCCATCACAAACTCCCCCCACCATCCGACCGCACCCCGCTCAGTTCCGCTTTGACGATTGCTGCTGGATACTTCTTTGGCGGGTTCATCCCGCTTTTGCCGTATTTTTTTGTCGGCAGGGGAAGGGTTCTGCTAGGCCTTGCATGGAGCGTCGGGGTCATGGCGGCGAGTTTGTTTGCCTTTGGGATTGGGAAGACAGTTCTTGTCGAGGCTGGTGGCGAAGGGGTGGAAGCCCAGGGCGAAGGTGGAGATGGCGAGAAGTGGAGATGGGGGAAGGCGATTAGGGGTGGGGTTGAGATGGTGGTTGTAGGTGGGGTTGCGGCGGCTGCCGCGATGGGGATTGTGCAAGCTTTGGGATAGGGGCTGTGAAGTGGAAGGGGAGAAAGTGGGGTTGTATTATTATTATTGTTATGATAATACCTTATGCAAGCCCGGGGTTTTCGGCTTGTCTGGGTAATCCTTAGAATCATCTGGTATCACTCGGCTTGGAAAATATGCCTTGCCCGTTGGGACGGGCTTGATAGAAATAAACTTTTAATTATTAATTTCTTCATTTCTCGATATTATTCCTGTCGCCTATCGGATACTGTTGGATGGCTGGAGTTTACTTTAAAATACAATACCGCTTCAGCCAGCACAAGTTTCCTATCAGTAGCGTATCGTCCGTCTCACCAGTTTCCACAATTACAAGGAAGGATCAAGAGCCCTGAGCAAATCTGGGCCGTAATGTCCCCAACGAGATTCTTACATTATGAATACCATGGGGATTCTACTTGCAGCATCATAACCCTCCGTTACGCACTTATCAAAGGACTGTATTGTGTCTGATGCGGCAGCCTTACTATGCCGCTCATCTATAATCGATGGCCCCGCCTCCGAATTATGTCCTTTCTCACCGCCGCCGAACACGCCTTTTTTTTTCCTCGTTGGTATTTCCGTTCCGACCGGTTGGAGCGTTCCATTGATCTGAAAGAAAGAAATGACTTTTTCGTCTTTATCTATCCGTGGCCCGCGTTTTCTCTTCTCGGGGGATGTATGGTATATATTCCTACTTTTGTAATGTATTCGGGCTCGTCGGGCCCCCTTCAATCTGGTCGGTTAATGGACGATTGGGTATCGTAACCATTTGAGATTCTATTGATAGTTCTGTGTGCTGAGGCGAACTCTTTCCCTACAAAGCTGGGTCCCTATTCCCTTCTAACCGTTGGTAGCAGCTTCACTGTCGTAGTTTTGGGATGGGCGTCAAGTGTCTCAAGGGCTGTGCAGTAATTTCTCTACGGATGGGATCTGGGAGGTGTCGATCGAGAGTCCGTGCGGATATTCCCGTTGTCGAAGGGTGCACGGAAGGGGCACTTTTTATTGCAGTGATGGCGTCATCACTGGTCACTCGGATAATGCTTCGCAGTTCAAAAAAAAAATCTCACAGGGAGGAGTTTTTTTTTCTTCTTTTCATTTTATTCGTTAAATCTTCTACCACTCGGTTTGTATTTTCTTTGTATTTTTTTTTCTTTTTTTTCGATAGGAACGACCTTCCGAGTGTCGATTTCGATTAATTAACCTTTGGAAAAGTTAGGGGGGGGGGGGAATTCAGTTTCCGCGTCCGGGCCGACCTCATTCAAATCGCCCGATCGTGATAATGGAGGACGAGATGGTTATTTGCGAACTTTGGAGGAGGAGAAAAAAGGTCTCGATTCAAGTTCACACGTGTGGTATCGGTGGGATGGGTATGGTGCGAGGCATCTGAAGGGGGTGGAGGGTCCAGCGGTGTTGCAGGATGTGATGCCTTATGCAATCGGGGTTAGGTCTTACCCCTCCAACCTCATTTATCTTTTCCCGCCATAAATATTAAGCTCATGACATTGTTTCCAAGATAGTTATGATGGCAGGATGCATTATTTGGGTTTTCCTGTTTTTCCCCGATTCTCATATCTAGTACTTTTCTGCATTACTATACGGTAGGCATTCTACACCGGGTGAGTCGGGAACGGTTATCGTGACGGAATTGGGAGTAGATTCTGTTCTTGTGCTGCTTGTGGAATTGTAGAGAGGAAAGTGGGGGGAAAAAAATAAGGTGGAAGAGGGGGAGAATGCCAAAGAAGAGCTAAAATGTGAAAAGTAGGATTCAGCAATTGGATGTACAGGATTGGCCTTAAGTGAAAGGGGCATACCGAGTGAGAACATATGATATCACAGCAGGCCCATACAGATATCTACCGGTAAGTTGTGATTAGAATAACCCTAATCCTGATTATATAAGGCATTACATTTTACAATTTCGGTAAGACCATACCATCGTAACTTGCTGTTCTTACGGTGCTTCTTTTTTGGGGCTTTTTTTTTAGAACCCTTTAGCTGAAACAGTTCGATGGATTTTACACTGTGCGAATATGCTCAAGAGAGGAAGGAGCGTGGAAAGGCTTCACGAAAGGGTATCCAACAGCAGCGGGACGGCATGGTGTTGGTAATACCCTGTCGAACCGGGGGGGGGGGGGGGGGTCAGATGCATGCCCTCAATGGGGTTTCACGGTCATTAGATCTTTTAGATGCTTCGCACAATATCGCAGTACTTTCCGCTGACACGCTGTATGAAATACCTGTCTGGCAAATTGCTCGAGATATCAGGGAGCAAGTAATCTAGCCCTTACGAGATAGGCGGGGACCATTCGACACCTCTCAATGTGAGTCGTCATGCGAAGGATTGAAAGACCTGTTGCGTACACTAGGGGGATTGAGAATTCTTGACCAACCGTGTGAGGGACCAGGGTGTGGTGTTGTTGAAGACTTAGCGTTCTGAAATACTGTTGAAGGGAGAATTAGTACTGCTGGGAGGGGCCATAGCCAAATCCACTCTATGGGCTATATGCCCCCGTGTGTGGTCTGTGGTAGGCGGGGTATGTCAGTAGGAGGAAAAGAAGGCAATGATTCAAAAGAAGGGGGAGGATTTATTACCACCTTCGGCTTGGAACCGTGACTGTAAATTCTGAATATCCCGCCTACTCTCCTGTATCACAAGGTAGCGATAGAAGATGAAGGTTAAAATCTCGTGAGGACCGGCATCGCTCTACGAAATTTCCTGGCTATAAATCGAAAACACAACCTTTTCACTACTCGTCTCCGGGTACGACTCCTTGAGGATCTATAAAGGTTTGGGAGGAAGCGTATGCATTTTATCCGACTCAATGTTGCTAAAATGCCAAGACCTGGCTACGCAAAGCCCAGCCACCCCCTCTACTCGACATGAATTTGACGATCGAATGCCCTGGGACTTGTGGCGGCCAGTATATTAAATGGCCACTGGCTGTTTTTTTTTTTCCCCAAGGTGGATTTGGGGTCACTCATCTACCTTTTTGAAAAGATAGTAATTTCTGCGTATGATATAATATTATGACATACATTGAAGAGGTTGCCCTCTAATTTTCCGAGTATCTCTAAGGTGCGGAAATGACCGGGGATGCCTGTGGGCTGACATCAAGTCCGGAAAACAACCCTCTCACCACCCATAGGTTTTCAAACGGTTAAAGGGCAAGTAAGAAATTACCCGAGATCTCAGGCTTCTGCTGGGGCTGTTCTTGGAGGGCTTAAACTGGGGCCGGGTCGCAGGTCTCTCGCGACCCGATGTCCCAGGAGATGTGCTCGGGGGTGGGTCCATTGGAATTAACTTGCTGTTGTTTGGGCGTTTATTTTTGGACAGAGTTGGGGGATTCGTGAAAGAGATATAGCGGGTTACTCATGGTATAGCTCTTGGACATGCTGTAGTTTATCGCTGGTCGCCTACTATACGGTTCGCTTTCGCAGCAATCGAAAAAATACTGCAGAATGACGGGCAAAAGCCAACATGGGCAGTTGGAGTTTATGGTGTTAGCCCCCTTCACGATTTCCTACCAAATTATACATTCGAGTGGCTGAACCATTTGTGTGGGGAGCCCGGAAATTCGGGTTGAGCTCTTGTGATCTATGATATCGTGTAGTTCCGGAAGACTAGCCCCTGTAACAGGTTTCTGACAAAAATTGTGACAATTTTAGAAGTGACGCTGGCTGTAACACCCGAAGAATCTGTTACCCTACCTTGAAACAACATATAAAAATAAATAAAAGAGCTCTATCAAGGTTTGAATAATAACTTACTTTGCATTGTGAATAGAAGGATCTAAATATAGAGAAATTGATGATAGAAAGACTCTGGAAAAAGGTGATTGCGGATGCTCGGTATTTTAGTTTGATACAGAATAAATTATATGATATCATACTATTACAAATTTTATATCAACAAACATCTGATATCACTCATTCTTTGATTGGATTTACTCTTGTTTTTATGGTTTCAAGGTAGGGTAACAAATTCTTGAGGTATTACAGCCAGCATCACTTCTAAAATTGTCACGATTTTCGTCAGAAACCTAGTACAGGGGCTAGTCTTCCGGAACCATACCTGCCTTTTTTTTTGTTAGTTCTACGAATGCATTTTTGGGCTTGTGATTTCAAGGCAACCGCGCTACGGAATGGCCCTTTAACATATGAAACTACGGCCACCCCGGCACGAAACAAATAAACGACAAATACTCTTTTCAGACTTCAATCGCAATCGACCGAATCTCGAGGCGTAAAATTGGTCCCTCTTTTAGAAGGAAAACCAACCACCCCGCGCTAGAAGTTTTATCTCATGAGGGAGCTGAAAATAAATACAGAAAGCTTTCCAACCAGCTCCCTTCCTCCTCTGTTATTTTCCAGTGGGGCCCACTCCGGCCAGGCTCTGTAACACGCTTGTACATGCCAATTCGTATAAAGGGGCTCCTATTTCTAAACCCTCCGATTCCAGAAGCCCAAACGGGGTCCGAAACTGCGGCTATTTTTCCCGGGTCTTGACATACTCGCTAAAATAGCCGAGAATTTTCACTAAGCCAAAAATAAATATGGTTGGAGAACCTCTGGTCGCGTTGTAAATCTACAGTAGGCAGAACGTCTTTTTTAGTGTGACCTGCGAGACCAGCGAACGAATACGCCACCGGACTGTGCAAAACCTCCGTTCCGATCATTTTGCAACTGCAGACTGTGTTGCAGCCTGGGCGGTGGTATCATGCCTCGGGGCACAAGATTAGTGATTGCTGGGGGCGAGCTATATCGGCCAGTACCGGTTGACCACGACCCATTGTTTATGCTAAAATCACGAGAAAGGGGATATCTTACTGACCCGGGCTTAGTGGCCGTCGTTAGCTTCTGCGTTACTAGCGGGGAATGATGTTGTGGAACAGGTAATCCTTGTCGAAGGGCTCAACAGTATTCCTAAATCATGGTATATCACTCGCTGGCTACCCCGCGGCTGACTTTTTCTTTTCGGATCTCCGAGGAGCGGTCTACGATTGAGGCTGTGGGGTGGAGTTCGGGGAAAGTAAGAGTGCCGGATATGGCAAAGGGAATAAGGTGAGACTGATTTGTCCTTTCCCCCCTCCGGTATGGCATTGCGCACTATGCTTCCTGTGGCCCCAGGCTGGGAATTTCCTGTCCCCATCAGGGGCGAAGGTCCTGGATTTCCCCGCAACTCAGCTTGTTGGTCACCGCTTAGTAGTAGCAGTGTTAAAATGGGGTTCGAGAAGGTTATCGCGTGGAGGATCTGGTTCGCGTGAATGTCAGCTCATCGGAGGGCCAAATATGGCCTTGCATGAAATCAATTGGGTTTCGCCGATCCACAGAGTCCCTTAAAGTTGATGGCTTCGCTGTGCCAACACGAGTATTCCAGAGCTGACGGGAATGTGCCAGGTCACGGCATCGGAAATGACTAGGTCCCTCGTATTCGTAGCAAGGCTTCTGGCACAGCACAGGAACGAGAATCTGGTAACCGCTGATCATACTAATCGGCAGAACCGGGGGGTGTGGGGAATCCGGAGATTCTGTATCACCACTTTAGCGAACAGCGCATGCCACCCATTGGGCCCCGAAGCTGTGTTTTCTTATCCTGGGTTTATGCTTTATGGTGAGGGGAAGGAAAGAGGATTTTTTTTGATGGAATGTCCACACAGACCCTACACGTTAACTGTAAAAGGATGATATGTAAGTAAAGTCGAGAACCCTAACCCTCGCTTGCCCACAAAATTTGCTGGTGCTAGGACCTTCCAAAAAGAGACTTATCCTATCTACTTTTGCGTTTAGCGAGTAAGTAGTTTTTTTTTTCTTTTCGTTTTTTTCGTTTGTGGGGCATGTAAGAGAGTGTAGAGGGAAGTATGAAGCGAGTAGGTGAGAACCGCTCATGTATCGACCTGCGCTGGGAGGTCGGGATTACGTTTCCTTGTAAGGCATTTTATGCTTTTTTTTCCTGCTGTCTCAGGGCGGGGGATTTTCCGGATCTCTTGGTAACCTCAGTCGGGGACGAAATCCTGGATTGCCGACCTTATCAACTTTATCTGCGGATTTGAGCTTATATGGTAACTTACGAGGCTATGATATGCGGAGTCAGCTGGCCTTTGCTGGATCCGGTTGGCGGCTCCCGACCCCGATATCTGTGACACTCACGCCCGGTTTACCGGGACTGGCGGTTAGGGTACGATAGCTGAACCTGGGTGGATCACGAGAAATCACTCTCCTTGCTTGGTTGAGTGATCGGGGGCTGTCAGAGAGCTATCCCCCTCCGGTGCTGAGCCGTTGCAGCAATAGTAGCTGCACCGGGCTCAAACCCGAGAATCGAAACCCTTATTGCCGCAGCTATTATGTATCTTCCAGGTTTTCCTCTCCCCCCCTATCTTTTCTGTCCCCCCTGTCTATCCTCCCTTTGCCTTTCATTGGGTTACGTTCCATTGTTAATGCAGGAACTGGCTTCATTAGACACACAGCTCGTCGGCTCTGTGGAACGCACATCTTCCAACCGAGAGCTTTTGGTCGGGTTGTGTCGACAGGAATAGTCACCAGCGGATCAAAAAGATTTTCCGCTCGCTCTCATGAAGATGCGCCAAAAGCCTCCCTGGGTTCCCGAAATACTCTCCTCCCTCTAAGCAGGGCTCGGACGCGGCTTAACTTGTTTGTCAGCGGCTAAGCATGTATCGGGCCCGGGTTATTGCATTCTCGTCCCTACCGGGAAAACAGGAGTGTTCCTGTCACACATCTTCAACCAGGAAAAGGCATGTTTGATAGAAGCACAAGATACGTCAGCTCAACCCCCCGGGGCATGTGAAACCTGATCTAAAGAATGATAGCGGGTAGATCTATTGTTTTCTAGTCACAACAATAGACTTCTGGGAGGGTGTGGGGAGATATTGTACGTACCTTGGGTGCGGTGGCGGGTTTCCGATCTCTAATCGAGGTGGATTGCTGATCAAGAGCTGAACTAAGCACTGGGATCCTGGACGGTTCATAGAATTTGTACATGTGCCACAGAACCTTGGGATCGTTAGCATTTGCGGGGAAGCTCCCGACGCGTAAGGTCATCCCTGGGTTCATTGTTCCACTGCCGTAGGAAGTATGCTTAAGTTGACCTTTCTGAGTAATGCTGGTGGCACAAAGACAGAAACGGACATCCGTCCATCCCCGGACCGAAATACTCTAAGCTGGACCCCCACAACATTAGCGCGCGGTAGTGCCAATAAAAACGGCCAAAGGAGATTTACTGTGCTGTTAAATTGGATCGGCCGGTAGGGATAAGCCGAGTTAGGCTCTTTCCTCCAGGTAGGAGTTGATGCAAAAATTGGGCCAGCATTACGCAAGTCTGTGGAAATAACCTTCTTTCGACTGCACCCCGGCATTCTCCTCTACCTCTCCGAAAGTTGCCGGAAGGGAGGATTGCTTGCTAACTATGGGTTGCTCCTCACCACCAAACTCCTTGTCCTCCTTGTCAAAGCTTTACGTTTTGCGCTTATAGCTCTCCCATCCGAGCCAATGGATGCCCGATGGCTGGCCAATGCTAGAGAGGAACGTGCTCGAAACCTCCGGGGTCACCACCACGCCGTACATCTCGGCCGGATGGGCTGGCCCCTATCACGTACGCCCAAAAAGCACTAAAAATATTGCCTCCTCTTGCACTGTGGTGGGAGGAGAGAGCAGTATGGGGGGAAGTTGGGGGGAGGTGGACAATGAGGAACATGTGTTCACATGAAGCAAATGAACGCTATCCTCCACTAGCCTATCCAGGCACTTCAGCCCTACCCGCGAACAACGCCTTGCTGTATAATATTATTTGCTTGGTCATCCCATCCTTCACCCTTTCATCCTAAAGGTCGCGCCTCACACCCACCGCTTTCTAGATGCACCAGACCCACCCTCCATCAAAAAAACAAAAAAAATGCACACAACGGACGAAATATATGCACAGAACAAGGAGGAACAGTGGTTCACAAATCACACAGCACAGCACAGCACAGCACAGCACGTTGCACTCGATGAGCTGCTACTGGGGAATTTACCCCAGCCTCGCCATTTATCCTCCTCTCTCCCTGACGGAGCGGAGTAGGGCTTGCACAACCCTTTTTCCCAACACATGGTCCATTCCACCCAATATGATGCTTCCCAAATAACAACATTGGCCGAAACCAAATTAACCCGGCTGCGCTGTACACTGAACGCGTCTGTGCGGGTAGATATGATAAGATATCGATGGGCATTAGCAAGGCTGTGGTGTGGGCCCGCCCGATAAGATGCCTGGTTGGCTTAAAAAGTGCACATCTAGCGGGGATGCTGCAGGATACAGATCCAAACCCTACATGCCTGATCTGGTTGGCCGTGACGGGGCTTTTTTTCTTCACTTTCGTTCCTGCATTCTGACCCACACACATGGAATTTGTTGGGGTGCGCGAGGCATTGCTAGGCTTCGCGGGGAAATTCTTTTTGTTTTTTTTCTTCTTCTTCTTCATTCATGAAGTCATATCGCAGGTGAATTACTGTTGGTTGGCTAATTTGCCGGTAGTGTTCATAATTCAGTATGCAGGGCTGTATCGCACCGCTATGGTGCCGATGTGACGGCGAGATAATATGATAGTGTGATAATGGGATTAATTGATGGTTCTACCCCCGTGCGGCACTCCCGGTCGGGAGCGCTGAGCGAGGACGGCTATCGCGATCAGGGAAGAACTGAACTAGACTAGACTAGACTAACTAAAATGTGATTCCGGGAATTGGTGGTAGGAGAGGGGATGAAATATGGAAAGAGCTAAAAAAGAAACACGTGAACATAACCCATCACTCGTCGGAGGGATCCGGTACTCGAAACCGTACTTGTACAAATGAGACATGGTACAAATGATTAGACGACAGATCCCTTTTTTTCCTCTCTCCTCCCTTTAGGCGGCCAGGGCAGAGAAGAGAGAGAGGTATAGTGAGGAGTGTGGAAGGGGGTAAAACGGGATAAAAAAAAAATAGGGGGGAGGGTAAAAAGAAAAAGGTTAGATAATTAACTTGGGTAAGAAGAAACATAGAAACGAGAACAAAAAAATATTTTAGCCACCTGTACTCGCCAGGAACATGTCCAACTCCCCCATCTAGCATGTGAAGATGTAGACAAACAAGCAAGGGACAAAAACCGAACAAATGCAGCGCAGATAAAAAGACAATCGGGTATAGACACCAAGAAGCTTCCTTCTTCCCTTGGTGTCATTGTGAAGGGGGTAGTTTTTCTTTCTTTCCTTCCTTCTTCCCCCGCCTGTAAACGGAATCCCCAACTTAATTCGCCGCAGCCATCGCTATCGCCTCCTCCTCGGCGAAGGACCCCTCCAAGTCCCCTAGGCTGGCGGCCTGCTGTGCGAATTGGTATGAACGCTGCTCATACACTTGTTTCAAGGTCGTTCCGTGCACCTTCTTGTGGTGCTCATTGCACGTGCGACTGTGCATGTATACCTTACCACAGCTAGGGCAGTGAGTGCGGCGGTTGGGTTCGTGGAGTGCCATGTGGTCACTATATCCATAGTTCTCCATTAGTACCATATGCAAGAGGGGATGGGTAGCATAAGTGGGAAGAGAGGATGAGAATAGGGAGGGGGGAGGGAGGAGGTTACTCTAAACGGCACTTCTGCATATATTCATGCCTCTTGGGGCAGTCTTCAACCGGACATCTGTACCTTCCTGCTACGCGCTTCCCCCCCGGCTTACGAGCGCTAGCGAACGAATTGTCGGACTGGGCGCCGGAGGATTCTCCGCTATCCGAGGTGTGGTTCATGGCGGACTGTCGGGGGTTTTGCGGGCTGAAGATTTCGGCCTGGGCGAGGCAGAAACGTTGCTGCATTTGCTGGGTTTGAGGGTTACCGCCGGAAGCCGTGTTCGTTTGGTAGAGTTGTGGTGATGATGATGGAGGCTGGGTCTGCAGCTGCTGCGGTTGGCTCTGGCTGTGAGGGTCGGACATGGCTGTATCCTCGGGCAATTGTTGATCCACAATGGCGATTACTTGCTGGACGTTTTCCGCTCTGGCGCTAGGCGAAGGGCGGTCCTCGTCATGGAGGAAAAGGGTGTCAAGTCTTGCAAAGTCGGGGCTGAAAGGATTGCAGGGGTCGCGATAATTATCTTGGAAGTACCGGTCCTCATGGTGTGGCTCGCCGGTGTGCCTTCGGCATACCGCGTTGCTCTCCGCAGGTGCGTCCGAGTGCGCCGCGACTATAGCTTGGAGCAGCAAGAGGAGGAAGTCGTCGTTGTTGATCACTCTTGTGAATTGGTTGCCGTAATGCGCTTTAAGGCATACGTCGAGGACATTTTGAAAGCGGAGGAAGAGGTCTTGGACAAATTTGGAGTTTCGGAGAATAGCCTCGACCTCCTGGTACTCTTGGCAGGACATATTTGGTGTCGGTGGATATATCTAGGTAGATAGTGAGCTGGGGTGATCATACGTGCATTGAACATAAGGTGGGGGGGGGGGTTACAAAATATGAAGGAGTAATTCGTGTGGTGAGGTGGTCTGAATGGGATGGTGACGGCACCTCTACCTCCAAGAGCTAGCGGGTTGCAGTAAGGGATTAAGGAAGGCAGAGAGGCGTTCGAAATGGAGCGTCTGGAACGAAAAACGGGAGTCTAGAAGGAAATGAAACGTCACAGGCAGAGGGAGTCTCAGAGGGAGTCCGGTCGGTGGAGTCTGGTATAGAACACTTGAGATCAAAACTGAAAGATGGCGATGATGATGCACAAACGCTCTTCCTTCACAGAGATATATAGAGAAACGGAATGAGTGAGCAGGACTCCCTCACCCTTCGCACAATCGATGTCTTTAGCCCACGGATGCACATTGCGCAAGCTCATTCACAGTAGATACTTTTCACTGCACATTAACGTACAGTGCACACAAGCCTTAAGGAACCGATGTGTAGAGGAAAGTAGAGGCGATGCGGACTCGGGCAAGGATTGCACTAAGTTAAAGAAGATTTGTTCTGTTAAGGCGAAAAGTGGTGGTTTAGGTGGGAGGTTTGGGTACGGGTATCCCGTGAGGAAGACAAGAATTTGGGGTGAGGGTTGGTGGACCGCCACGGCCGTAAACAGGTCACGTGATAATGCACACAACGGCATTGGCTAAGTATCAGGGACCACACCTAATCCCAACCCTACAACCACGAGTGACGAGGTGTGAAAGGAGACCCGGTTCGCATCTCGGGAAGATCTCAAGATTGAAAGCTTTAGGGCCTGGGAAGGAAAACCCCTCCCTGGAAGGTATATCGGAGGGCTGGCTAGGGCTGTGGTTAAAAGTGCTCGTGTGCACACAAAGATTGGATGTGTCAAGGGTTGTCATGCGCCGAAGTGGTAGTGAGAAGCGTCGGCGAGAAAACTTCACGTTATAACGGCCGGGGAAAGGGCTCACCCAGGAGCGCGAGGGGTTTTAATGGGGAGCCCACCTGTGCAAAGGCGTTTTTGATGTGGTGTGGCGCGAAATGTTTGATAGGGGTTTAAGGGGGGGGTTACATATGCTGTAGATCTCGCTACCACGGTATCACACCCAACATACAGGCGAACCTGGCGGAAGGCTTTCCCTGGCATGTAAGTGAAGGACGGGATGATGTCCCAAAGCGCCTAAGGACTGCAAGCGCAACCCTAAACCGGCATAGTAGCTACAGCGGTTAGCTCTAAAGGAGCTTGGAGGACCAGGGCAGCGCGGATGGACCGCCCTGAGTGAGCAATAATTGGTACTGGCACGGGTGCCGGTACATGGCACAAGTTTGAATGGATCGTCCGTGCCTGATCCTGTTCTCCATTCCAAGGCGGTGGGTCCTCCGAAGGAAGGCATCCTGATAGGAGCCCTAGTAAGGTCTTTAGGGTGGACTCTCTATCAGAACCCATCGGTATCCATCATGATTCATTTGAGGTCCTTCACGTTTTGCCTGTCTGACTAAAGTTACCTTTCAACGATAAAAAAGCATGCCTTCCGGCAGGGCGGTGGCGAGTGTCCGCCTTTCCTGTGATGGGAGTTTGTAAAACCTAACCCCGTTTCTGGCAAAGACCGACCCCGAGAGATTAGATCATCCCGATTCGGCAAGATTCTATTATCTCGATCTGATCTCATTAGTACTGTGCTTATAAGACTCGCTGTGCTACCGGTACCCGCGTTGTACTCGTACTGGCACGGCGAATTACTCGTACTCGCCAATAGTGCAGCCCATCAAGTCAAGTTACGGTAACGGTAAGGAGGATCATGGATCCCAAGGCTTCAACTGTGCATGCTCGTACAGTACGGTGTGTGCAGTGCGAGCGTAACGGTACTGGTAACGTTACGGTGAGGAATTGGGCTGGTAGCGGACAGAATGCTCGTAGTTTGGCTCCGTGCCTTCTACCGTGTTGTACGATGCGGGTGTCATACCTTACGGTTGGGTGAAGATTCCTGCTTCCAATAAGACCTCCTCTGGTTGACCGCTTCCGCTCCCATGCACCGCGAGTTGTGACTACGGCGTCGAGCGGTCGGAAGGTTAATTTAGCGAAGAAAGCTTTCGGCGATTGGCAGGTGATTGCTGTTGCCAGTGGCATACCGGCATTTACATTACCGATACCGGTATCCCACGCTCTATCATGTCAGATAATGTATTTCAATTGAGTAAGTTAACTCGGGACCGAAGGTCCTGAGTGCGCGAGTACGCAACAGAATAGGAGGAGCACTTCAACAACAACTCCCATGCCGACCAGTGTGTAACGGCGCTCTGTGTGCGGTGCTTCTTCGTGTGCGCCTTGTCTCACCGTGTGCGTGTGTGAGGAGGTGAATGCGGGGAGGAGTGGAGAGAGGAAAAGAAAAAGGAAAAGGAAAAAGAAAAAGGCAAAAGGAAAAAAAAAAAGGGTGGAAAAGGGAGGGATCGAGGGTCAGGATGGACCTCCGCAACATCAACAACGCGTTTCCCACTTGTCCATTGGTCAACACCGTCTATGGTTTCCAGTTTCTTAATTCCACCTGGAATCTCTGTTCTACGCATCGCACCTGACACCAGCATTGATCCCATACAATTCGCCCCCGCAAGGACGAGAGCCCTAGGGAGATGCCTCGACGCCGCAAGGAACCCCCCCCGCTCGCACCGCAACCACAACAGTTGCAACCGCGACAATCACCACAGTATTGCATCCCGGTTCACCGTTCTCCTCCACCCCTTCCTCCATCCACTCTTCACGTCTTCACCTCCGGCCCAATTCCACTCACCCCCCAACAGCAGCAACCGCATCAACAGCATCAGCCGCAGCAGCCCTATCGTAATCACCCTCAACAACAGGGTGCTCCCCTCCCACCCTATAGCCCTGGATCGCTGGGTGCCCAATCCCCTGAACCACTTAGACTCTTGGCCGTCTTGGATTCATTAAAATCGCTAGGATTCGCTTCCATTTCCGATTTCCTTGTTCGCTTATTCAGTAGTGATGACTCGGCTGTCCGACGTCGGGTGGGCTTGTTTTACACACATGGCGGTATCAGATCTGTTCTCGAGATTTTTATGAATTCGAAGCATGCTAGGGAGAGCGGAGGTGACGAGCTTTCTGCGTCATGGGCCGGTCGAGTGTTTAAGGATGAGTTTGATGCTGGCCTCGTCAAGTGTGGTGTTCGTATCATATCTCCCCCCAACCTTGCGAAATTATTACTCTCATAATTAAGAAAAGAAAGAATGAGAAAGAAGAAAAGAAAATTTCTCGGAATTTCCCCTAACACGGTAGTCGGTAAATTATATAGATTAATGTCGACGTACGAGCTAATTCCACCGAGTCTCGTGGCCGGACCACTGGGGAGATTTTGAGGGAAGGCCTTGAGAACTTCGACCTCGCCAAGGTCCAACGGCAGTGCGAGCGTAAGGCCCCACTTCTCTGGCGTCTATTGGAAACTCTCTCGTCTTCAGACCGTGAGCGGGTGGAGGCGGGAGCATTGGCAGCTTCCGCAGGGGACGAAACGGCAAAGCAACCGCTGTCGAAACGGCGAAAGACGGATATGAACCCCACTATAGCCTCGTGGTCGGTGATGGGGGCGCCCTCGAACCCCCCACTTACGGTCACTTTCATGCTGTTGCTTCTTGCGAGCTCCCAAGTGAGAAATAAATTCCAGAAATGGCTTGGACTGTATCTTTACGCCCAGGGTGTTCGTAAAGGACCCTTGAATTCGCTCCGCGCTTTGGGCGTTGGGAGCGAAGGCAAGGTTATTGGTGATAACGGTTCGACACGGTCTTTGCCGTCAGCCTCTGTGCTTCTTGGGCTGATTTTCCCCAGTTCTCCGGGTGATAGGTGACGACATCAAGAAGAAGTTACGTACAGAGATGGGTGGATCGGACCTGCAGGTCAGAGGCCCTGGTGCTCCGCGAATCAACTCGCGAGCGGCAAAGCGGAAATCTATTCTGATAGAGTCACGGCCAGTAGATATTGAGCGTCCCAACCTGCTTGAGGGAAAACGCCCATTTGTTATATCTCAAATTACCTACCACCCTACGCCGAAGGACCATCTGAGGGCTGACAACTTTGCACCCTGTGCCACAATCCCTTTTATCATTAGACTACCTCTGTCAACACCACTATTGACTAGGGCCATGGTGAAAACCTCATGTACTTTTCGCCGTGAGAAGTACCTTCACAATGTCTCTGTTACCCCGGCTTCCCCCGTGCCTCCTATCCCAACCCTAGTCAGTGTAAGGCCAGCTCCTGGTCCAACTTATCCTCCCGCGAGCTATTCTCCCTACGGGGTTTCCCAATCTGCCGCATTCAACACCACCCCCCTTGTTACGGCGCCCCCACACCTGCACCATACGGCGATTATAATTTTGCGCAGCTCAACACTCTCAACACTCCCACCACTTCAGGGCCAACTTGGCCCGGCTGCTCAGCGACTACCCAGGGAACAGAGTACGGCTCTAGGCTCTTATTGACCGGCCAGGATGGAGAAATACATCAAGGCTTGCCGTTTGGCGGGCCATGGGAAGGCTCTGGCCCAAAATTGGAGAAATCCTCGACGAAAGTGAGGTGAACACCGAGCAGCCTTGCCTCGCCGCGTTTCCGAGGGTACCAAGGGTACCAAGGGAACATGAAAGTGAAATTGCCCGGGGAGGGCAGCGCGCTTCACGGATATGCGAGGATGATCTTTTTCCCATGCCGGGCATGAAACGTGTGAGCATTAAGAAACTCGGGGAGCAAATGTCGATACTTGAACTGATAACCGAGTACCTTGGGATTAAGCCTGAGCACATGAAGGGCTCTGGTTCTGTTGATAGGCTGTGGCTGTGGGCTGGAAATCTTGAGTTTGTCTTGGCATTGAGGATGGCCAAATCGGTAGCCCTGCCAGATTCCATCCTTCACAACATCCACCCAGTGCTCCAATTATTTGATATCCGCCAACACTTTCTATTCGAGTTGCTGAAGCAGCATTACGGTAGGCCAAACGATAAAGATCCGACAAGCTTGTGTCACCACATGCAAATCATGAATCGGAGGTTTCTTATCTTCGGTTTCTCAGTGACTGGCCAATACGCTGAGGGTCTCTTGCTCCATTCGCTTGAATCTCACCTTATCCATTCGATTCTGACCGTCACCCAGGTTCGGGAATCGGGTCCTAAGACCAAGAAAGAGGCTTTGGATATTATCACTAGAGTTTACGATACGTATCTGGAGCCGGAGGCAGTAAAGAATTATCAATCGGTTTCAGACCCTCGCACGCGGGACGAGGTTTTTGAGAATCATATGCTTTTGATGCAACACTCACTAGTATACCTGGCATTCCTAGAGGCAATTTCTACCGCTTCCACAACCTCCCTCCTCCACGTCCTCTCCTGGCTCTCAACAGCTTTCCAATCGCCGAGTTTCTCCATATCATCAAGCCTCGGCCATGAACTTCTCGACCTCGTGGCGGGCCTCACCGACGAATGGGAGCCGCCTCTCCGCCGGGCAGTCCTTGACTCAATGCTAATTCCCAAGACCCCCGGCGCACCTTTCCCGGCTCTAGCGTCCCACCCTGCATCCCCGAAAATCTCCGGTGGCTACCAAGAGGTAGACTTCGCCATGAAGCAACTCCTCCGACAAACAAAAACCGTCTTCGACCTCCGGGATAACCCCAAACTCGACTTTTTCCGTGAGGTAGCTACGCCGAACATAAGGACTATTTCCAAAGTTGTCAGAAACGCCGAGGAATCCCTGGGCACAGCGCCCCGAACAGCGAATCAATGGAAGAGCCCGGCAGAGAACGTGGACCCGGATAGGGAGATTCCGAAGCTGGTTAAGGAGCTGAGAGAAGCGAGGGTGGGGGAATGGGTACCTGGTCGGAAAGCCGGGTTCAAGATCTCGCACTTGTTTTGCGATGGCGAGGAGCGAGTCCGGAGTCCTGGGTTTTTGGAAGAGTTTGTTAAGCGTGGGGATGGAGGGACGATTTGTGGCGGGAGCTCTGGGGAGACGGATGGGGATAAGGAGTGCAGGAGGAGGAATTTGTTTTCCGCCCAGGATTTTGAGTTTGATTGGGGGCTGTGAGCGCTATCCGTTGTCGTCAGGAGGTTCTTGAAAAAAAAGAAAAGAGAGAAGCGGTGGGGTGGGGGGTTGTGTCTTTCCTTGCTTTGTATTCGGTGTAAATAATACATCCCTAATTTGCGACTTTTGTTTTGTTTACATGGTTGCAATTAAGTGGAATTATTTTGAGGATTGTGCCTGTAAAGTGCAATTACTATTTGTCCACTGTAGGGGGCTTTGACTTGGGTCTGAGTCCGGTAGCAAGTTGAATAATTGAAAAATGTGCTACAAGTACTCGAGTACTCGTACAGTACGGTATGTCGTTGGGCTTTCCCCTTTCTGGGCAAGGCAATTTTGGGCTTCAAACCGGTAACGCACGGTCCAACTGCTGCGGTTCGGTCACTATTTATTCTGGAGTTGTTGGATAGAGGGCCTCTTACGAGTGCCGGTAGATTTTGCTAACGCTGTTGGGGAATTCTCCCATTTCGGTTGCTGGATGGGAGTTTCCCGTTTCGATTCTCGGTTGTGGTATGATATCCTTTTTGTTGGTCGCTGCTTTTCGGTGGCACTGCACCGCAGTCTATGTATCAGAGCGATCGTAGCGTTACTAGCCACGCTGCAGTGTGGCAAAGACCCTTGAGATCCGACGTTAGATTGCCGACTGGAATCGGCCCGCCGGCCGGCCCACGTTGGGGTTTCGCCTAGCCCGACGGGTTAACGGGATTGCGAATACCGGTTCATGAGATCAATCATATCCAGCGGGGCTGATCTTGTAAATTCACTGCGCTGTGCCTGGGAGATAACTTATCATACCAATCCTTCCCGGGACCTTCGACGCGGGATCCGGGGCTTGGGGGGGCTGACCGGGGTGGTGGACCTCAAGAGATTTTACGGTATTGTATATTTTCGCCATCAAGGGGCTATTCCGGGGTTATTTTCTTTCCTCGTTCGGGTGCGAGCGGTTGTGCTGCTTTGGTGATCAGTAGGATATCGTGGAACGCGGACGCGGGTTTCTGCAGACACATTTATCAACGTCTTATATGCTTTACCATATGAATTGCCTGAAGGACTTGGAGTTGTGTTTGCTCCTTGCGCTGGTGTTTTGTTAGCGACCGGAGTCTACTTGACATCCTGATTATCCGGGTATGGGTAGCCTTACCTGCCGTGTGGGATGCTAAGTTCCCCTATAATACCCAACGAGCAAATTTGCAACAGTATACCGGCACTTTACCGTGGCCATCAAAGCACTGTAGTTGGGGGTTGAGTTCGCAGTTGGCTTGCTTGTACTATTAGCGAGTGTGATGGGTGGGGCTCCCAGTATTCACATTTTGCCCTTCAGGGGAATAGGTTTGGGGAGGTGTTGGTGGGGGTGTGGGTGGGATTGCGTACGTGGATGATGGGGGGCTTGTGGAGCAAGTGCCGAAGGGTGCCGGGGATGGGATTGGTGGAATGCTGATAGTAGTGGCGTTGTATGAACAACGGTGAAAGTTTTTTTTTGCTGGCTGGGCTAAATGCACCGGTGTTGAGTAAATGACGTTGGCTATTGGTGGCGCTTTCCAGAGCTGCCCACTGAGCAATGCACTGCCACGGCCCAGGAGTACTGGAATGGATGATATATCCGACTGGGCATTAGGGTTACTGTTCTATGGCAGTCTATATTTTGGGTAAATAAATAGGACTACCATAGGAATCGAGGTGTTCGGGAGTGATACAATAAGCTAGACATCCGGAATTCCTCCTTTCAATTTAAGCAGAGAAAAATAGATGACAAGTGTGGTCCCTTATTGGATGTGTTGAATATGATGCCTTAGTACACTTAAACAATTATTGGATTCTCCCCCCCCCCCGGCGGCTCTCCGGGTAGCCATCTGATACACTATTACACTATTCTTCTGACTTTGCTCATCTCATTCTTCTTCAACTCAATTAAATACTGGTGGGTTATGGCCTCGAGGCTTAGGTACTAGCCATACATGCTTTCATATGGTAAGGGCCCTAGGATTTTACTCCCACCACCAACTATCCCAGTGTACCATAATTATTACCATTCTCTAGATGAGGGAAAGGGTTGCAAGGTTTAGGATTTTCCTGATATAGTAAAAGAATATCTACTGGATGACATGCCCTGACTGGCCGATTTCCACTAATAATTTGAGAGTAGGCTTTAGGGGGTTATCAGGATATGAATTGCTTAGGAAGCCAAGGCAAGATATAAGACAAAATGGCAGACAATTGAAACCCTTGGTAAAGACTGTAATATGCGATAGAATCTGCAAAAGTGCAAATTTCAGGTAAAACCATCTACTGCAGGTGATAACAGGTATCAAACTTGCTATAAAACAATTACTGAAGTGATAGCAAGTATCAATCTAGACACAATAACAGTGTGTTAAATAAATTGGTAGCCAATATCCTACGCTATTTATTTTTTTCACTCATCATATGAGAATGTATGTGTATGGTTAGGATGCATGGTTGGGCGGTCAGCTGGTGTAATTCACTAGATAAGATTATGAGTTTTGCAGGCCTGAGTAATCAGATTCCGGGACAGCTCTTTTTCTCATAGCCCTGGGAAGTTGGATAGCTCGCGTATTGTTTGGTTTCCCTCTGTGTGGTTGGCTGTGGAGCTATGTAATTGGGTTGTTGCTGGCCTTATGTCACATACGTGTTTGTCTTGTGCCTTTTAAACAGCCCCAGCAGGGCCATCTCCAGGATGCTTAGGCCTTGCTGTGCAAAAATGTGTTGCTGCATAGGGATCTTGAGTTTTGTATGGCTCCTGAGGCTTGTAGGCACGGTATCCGATAGGGATCTATACCTAATATTTTTTACCCGGAAGAGTTGATTTTCATAGCCGTAGCTTGTCACTTGGTTTGCTCGTCGAACCGCGAAGTCTGGTCATGGAGGAGAAAGAGGTGTTTTCCGGGTGGGTATGATGCTTGGTCCCGGGTTTGATGAACTGAGGCTTCTAAGTGGTATCTCGTGCTAGCGTATCTCTACTTATCTGCCCTTAGTCTCTCCGTTGGGATGCGGGGATGGGAGAAAGTGTACGGGTGATTTTCTGTGACCGGGATAGTCAGGATGAAATTATCATACATTTTTCATTCTTTTCGGGCGGGGTCTACACAATAGTATTTTACAATTTCTCTTAGTTCCTAGTATCAAGGGTAGATACACACTTCAATCCCCTCTCTTCCACCCTATCCTCTCTCTCTTGAAAAGGAAGCCTGCCTGCTGGAACTGTGGGTTTAAATTCAAGCTTCTCCGTCTCCTGCCGAGAAAGTCTTTTTCCGCATTTCACGGGCAACTTGAAAGGACTCCATCTATCCTGCCTGTAAGAGTTCACACTTGAGTCAGAGTGTGGGACTTGGAAGGGGAAGCTTGCTGCCTTGATAAAGATTTCTCTAGGTTGGTGCGGGGCAAGCCTCGCCTTCACTCCCTCAGCAGATTAAAAGCCCTCAACACCATCGGCTCCTTCTGCACAACCCTCTCCCACAACACCACTTCCTCCGCAACCAACACCTAAACGATTCCCTGACTCAGCACGACCGATACCCTCACTGCCACGTCTAGGAAACAGTTGTGTAACCGCGGTAGCCGAAGATTTGCAGCGTTCTGCTCCGACCATTTTCCCCTTCTCGACTTATCCCCCCCCGTCCACTCCTTCAGATCTAAGCAGCTTAACCCACCGGTACTCTTTGCGTCACGAGTGGCCATTATGCCTTTCATATACCTACCCAACGAGTTAGTCTATAGGATTGCGGAATATCTGCCTCCCCCGGATATCAATTCTCTCCGGAGAACTAGCACCCGCTTCGCCGCACTATTTTCTGTTGGGATTGTGAACATTACCTGTGCGCAGAAAGACCGCGACTGGTGCATAAAGCTTATAAAGTTTTACGCGAGGAGAGGTAACGTTGCTATCGTCCGCAGAATCCTCGAGAGAGCCTCCAGGACCATCCAATATCGAAAGGATCCTACTGTCCTTGAAGCGTTTGTCAGGGGCGAGAGGAACCAGAATCCATTCCTCACCATCTACAGAGCGGGCATCAAGATCAACACCAAGTACGGCCCCTTCGATGAACAGCCGATTCACTGGGCCGTCGAGCAGGGTCGCTTGGAGATCTTGAGGGTGTTACTAGCTGATACTGAAGTCGACGTCAACTGCATGACCACCTACGGATACCCCCCGTTGGTTCTTGCGGTCACAAATAGACAGGAGGGTGCGGTCCGTATGTTGCTAGAGGACCCGAGAGTTACCGGGATTATGGGCGGCGTACGCAAGGAGGGTGCAATTCACCTGGCCGCTGCGGAAGGGAATGTCAATATTGTCGAAATGTTGCTACAAGACCCTAGATACAGGAATTTCCGAGGACTAGACACCAATGGCACTCCCTTGCTCCACGCCGTTAGACGCGGCCGTCCAGAAGTGGTGAAACTCCTCCTTTCCGACAATAGAAGTGACTTGCAGAACTTTGCTCACCATAATGGTCTCGGATTGCTCCATGAATCGGCAAAGCGTGGGCACTCAAAGGTTGTCAAGATTCTCCTCGAGCACGGCCAAGTCGATGTCAATCAGAAGGATGTCTGGGGGAGCACCGCATTCGGGCTCGCGTTTTTCTATCGCAAGGCTGATGTAGTCACCCTACTACTCAACGACCCCAGAGTCGAGGCCCGCGCACACGATTCCGACATCGACCGTCGTGAGTCCCCGAACATAGGGGAGTCTCTCCTTCACCACGCCGCTCGCGACGGCGACTGCGCAGTTAGATTGACCCGAGCCCTCTTGGAAGATGCCCAAGGGCGATTCGATATCAACCAACTGGACTACCAGGGCCGCACCCCCCTGCATCTCGCTTCCTTTAACGGGGGCATAAACCTTATGAAGCTCTTGGTCTGGGAGTCTCGGGTTGATGTTAACGCTGTGGATTGCCGTGGTCAGACCGCCTTGCACGTCGCGTGCAAGGCCGGGAATAGCTATGCTGTTAGAATCCTGTTGACTCATCCGGATATTGATGTGAATGCCG